TTTCTCTCAGTGCATGCTGCTGGTCTGTGCAAACCTTGGTCCGGCAGTCATTAGTACAATTTTGACGGCAACTCAATTCTCCGGTTGGAGGATGAATAAACTGAAGCTGCGATGAAGTTTACCCTAGCTACTATTTACTTGCCTTGGTGTCGGTTTGTTTATGATGCCATATGTTGTCCGAATATCGATGGCAAAACATCAATTCTGTTGCCCCGGTCAGTGTCAGCATTATAAACGAGTCCCAAAGGATCATTTTTTATTGTTTTTTTTTTTGGCAAATTCCAGAAATTATTGCAACGTGAAAAGTGAACCCTTTAGGCATTTGCAAAGATGGATTTGTTAGTTTCTAACCTAATACCTTAAAATTGATCTTCTCTTTAATATTTCCCTGCAAAATAATCTTTTACTCCTCAAACAGTTCCTTGACTTGGAACCACTGGTAATTCCCTTTTATATAAACCATTCCCAAAATCAAATCCCCAGCTGGATTGCAAGTCGTGTAATATGTTCATTACGAAATTTGCATCAATTATTTGCATTTCCCAGCCACTTGACCCTGACATCCGGCAGGAATTGACCCACTCAGTGCCATGGGGATAACTTCAATTGGTAGGTATGGAGCTGCCTGAAGCTGCTTGAAAATCTCATTATAGCCAACGGAGCATGTTCAGTCCGTTTTCCCCCAAGTAAGGGGGAAAATCCTAAGGGGGAGGGCTAAATAACTTTAAGCTGCCATCAGCAAAAGATTTGGTTGCAAACTCTCAGCTCAATTTTCAAGGGAAAGAACCCGAGATGTTGGGGGAATGCAATTGCCAACAAGTGGGGTGCGAAATAAATTCTAGATTAATATTATCAAGTGTGGCACGTAGCGGGATTGCATGTCCTTACAGAGTGTCCTGCCAAGGGGGCTGACCAGTCAGTAAAATACTATACAAAGCCTGAGATGGGATGCATGGCACTTACGTTGTATCCTTAGCAATATCGTTATTTGTTCGGCATCCGAAAAAGTCGGTGTTATACGCAACGCCCGACATGTATACTCCCCGGCATCCGCCTGGCTCACATTCTTGATGTAAAGTCCATTCGACAGGCGACTGTGTTTCGATGAGTTCACGGCTGCAAAACAAAAAAGGATGCGTTCAGGACGAGAGTGAGAACGGTTCGAGCATGGATCGCAAGGGAGAAAATAATGTTGTTGGAATAGTTAACATGTTTTGCGTTGGCTTATTGAGAAATTTCTGGACCAAGACATTTAAATTTATTTAATTGCAATGGGATTTTTATAGTGTACTATTAAGTTTTTGAATGCAAGGATTTTTAAAGAATTATTTTTGAAGTCTGTGAAATTATTTACCTACAAATATGTTTAGGTTTTTGTTAGTTTTAAAGATTGAAATTGGTTGAAATATTATTTATCAATAAATTTCTGGACCAAAACATTTAAATTTATTTAATTGCAATGGGATTTTTAATATTTTATATTAAAATTTGGACTTCCAGGATTTTTTAAGAACTATTTTTGAGGTCAATAATATTATTTACACACAATATGGGTAGGTTTTGAAGAGTTTGAGAGATTGAAATTGGTTGAAATATTATTTTTCTATTAAACCACGCATGTTAAATGAAAGTTTAGTTTATTATAAGTAGCTTAACTTAACAAATTAATAAAAAAGTCATCGATTTGTAATAATTTTACAATTAATACAAATCAAGAAGAACTATCTTTTAACCAAATTATAACAAAGATTTAAAGATGATTTAAAATCATGGAGAACTATATTTTAACCAAATTATAACAATGATTTAAAGAAATGGTTTCCTATTTATTAATGCATTCCTCTTGTAATATGAAAAATCTATTTAATTGACTTAATATAAAATAAACTAGTAATATTTTCTTCAAGTGTATAAACTTACTGTTTATGTATTCGCCATTGAGGAGCCAGGAGACTTCCGGCTTGGGCATTCCCTCCACAAAGCAATTGACCAATGCATCGCGTCCCTCGCGCACCGACTGAACTTGCTCCGTCTTGCCAAATGAGATTTTCTCTGTGGGTGAAAATCAGAATGTGGGGGTTGGGGGAAGGAAACCCGGTTAGAGGGAAAATCAGTAGATGCGTTGTTCAAATTCCTTGTGTAAATATGCAGTCAATGATATGCCCCATTCCCATGTACAGTCAGCTAGCCATATCCTTTACAGGCTCTGTTTACTTGGTCTCCCTTTGATTGGTAAGTTGACAAATTGTGTGTCCTTCTATGTAGTAGTTCATCTAGTTACTTTAAATGTGGCTGGGAAAGTACTCATTCTGATTTGTAAATAGATTAAATGATTTGTCGTTTCTGTTGAGGCGGAAATTGCTTTGAAACTTTTAGCAGAATCGAAAAATAAAAGGTTTTGCGGTTTCTTGGAATTGTGGTTAAATTGCTACAGAAAATGCTTTCAAGATTCTTCCAAGCGGTGATAATTGCAAGGGCAATATTATACTAAAAAATATTTATTTCCTATATAATCTTTAAAGAATGATGATTAAATATTTAAGAATTCAATCTGGCAAGTTTAAAATCTCTTATTTATCTTGGCCCTTTCCTTTTGTTTTCTTTCCCTGTCTTGGACAGTTCTTGGCCAAAGCCAAGTCCCAAAATCACAAAACTGTGTAAGCAAGTAAACAGATCCTGCAGCAGCAATTTTTTACGACCTCATTTCTTTTATTCTTATTTTTTTTTTTTACTTAGTTTCCCCAAGCCCGTTTGCCAACTTACGATTTACGAGCAGCTCGAAGGAGGTAAAAAATTCACGTTCAACATTCACATTCCGATTTCCATTAGAAATGCTGTTCACCTCACAGGTCCAGTTGCCCATGTCGTCCAATGAAATGTGCTCAAAAACGAGGGCCAGCAGACCTTATATGAAAAATTAATAACCAGAGAATGATTAGAAGTATTTGGAATAATTTTGAAATATTTTTATAGCATTATAGAAATTTATTTAAAATGAATTTGTGGAATATTCATGGGAACCCTTAAATGGTGCTTTAACATTTTAAAGCATGAAAGGAAAACAAATTTGCCTTGAATTTGGTAATCAAATAACTTATAATTTTAGACAAACTTTAAGGGGTTATATAAATAATAGTGATTTTTGGAGCACCCTAGATTAATAGAATTTTCATTAAAACATGCAGAAACTTTACAAAAAATTAGTCTTAAAAATATATAAAATTCTCTGTAGAATAATCTGTGATTTTAACTCTATCTTGGGTAAAATGTCCAATTTAAAATTGTTAAGTAAAGAAGTAAACCCTATTTCGTTCCCGTTCGCCGATTAAAAATAATTCTTGCCATCGAAAATTTCGGTTTTTGTATTAATTCTAATAAACTAATTACAAACTTCATCTAGTCTTTAGTTTGTGCAATCAAATATTTAGTTTCGTTGTATATACATTTCTTATATGTGAAGTAAACTATATTAAACTAGAACTTTTTTTTAGAGACATCTAAAACAAAATATACAAACATTGCTTTACTTTGGTTGCATTTTAGTATTATTATTAAATGTATGAATTCATTTTCCTAGAGTTTTAATACTTTTCCTATAATTTTATTACTCTTTCCTAAACATTCTACATTTTTTTTATTATTTAAAGAGACTATAGTTTCCTATTCTTGCAATGATTTAATATGGCTCTTTACTATAATTCACTTTAAAGTAGTTCCAACCACAATTTATGTTCGGTTGTAAAGTGCAAGGTGCTGTATATATTTTTGCATGGAGAGCCAGTCACTGTCCATGGTGGAGTGGTGCAGGCTTTATGCGGTGGATAATGTGGGTGGTGTGTGGCAGTCGCCACTCCGTTGGGTCATTACTTGGCCACCACTTACCCGTCTTCTTCTCAATGTGGACGCGCCCCTTGGTGTTCTCCCGGGTCTGGCCGCGGGATCACGCCACTTGGTGTCGATATCCTTTTGTACTGTCTGGCAGAAGATGATGAAGGACTCATTTACAAAATGCGTTATTGATGGCGTCGACGGTTGCAGGCGTAGCGGTGGTGTTACGGCGTTTATCCTGGCATTCGGTGAGCTGCCACTCCCCCTGCTGCTCCCACCGTCCAGCTGTCCAAGGATTGCAGCTGCAACAAAACAACAAAAAGAAAAAAAGAAAAGAAGGTGAGCAAAAAATTGCATAGCTTTTTCCATTAAATTTATCACTCTCTCAAGGGGCGGGGATGATATACAAAATGGGCTAGCTGAGGTCATAAAAAATAATCATAATTTATATGGACAGGCCAACATTATGTTTTTTCTTCTGGACTTATCCAGGCTTTTATTTCCCTTTCGGCTTCAATTTAATTAGCTTTTGGGGTGGGTCAGTTGCCAGTTGCCAGTGGCCAGTGAATGAATGAATGAATCCTTCCTCTGCACATAGACATTTATATTTCTTATGAAATATGCAAGGCAACTGATTAACCCATCTTCCTTTGCACTCTGCCTCCTTTTTTAGTCCCATTTCTGCTTGTGTTGCATCAATATTTTAATGGAAATTCTTCTCTTGCACTTGCACTCATTACTTGTTTGAAGGATATTATGGAAATGAAAAAGTTGAGAGCACTACAAGGGAAACAACTTAATTGAAAAATGGGTCTTACAGCAAAAATATAAACAAAAATATTTACTTGTATAAATATTTGTTAGAAGAAAAATACTAAAATGTAAACAAGGAATTCCAAAACATAGGATAAAGAATGAAATAAATAATTACATATCTAAGCCTTTTAACTATTCATATTAATTATGAGAAGTTAATAAATATATTAATGAATAAACATATATTTAAATATATATATATATATATATATAATATATATATATATATATATATATAATATATATATATATATATATATATAATATATATATCATTTAAAGTCTATACTCATTTAAGTTTTAGGAAAACTAATTAATTTAAAACCAATGGGTTGTGTTGCCTTTTTAGGCAGCATTTCGCAATGATTTCACCACTTTTTTTATGAGCTTTCCCCAAGCGGGGAATACCCCAATTCCCCGTCGCGTAAACCTATTTTAATACCCTTACAGGGTATTATAATTTTAGCAAGAAGCTTGTAACAAAGTGAAGGAATCATTTCAGACCCAATAAATCATATATATTCTTGATCAGTATTAACAGTCTAATCAATCTAGATAAGTTTGGTTGAAAACAAAGTTTTCGAAATTTTGTCAACAAAATATAAAGGGTTACATCGTTAAAATTGTAAAAGAATTGAAAAAAATTTGAATATTTTTTAAATTTTAAATTGAGTATGCAGATTTAGTAACCCAATAAAAACTAGCATAAGGATCCAAATTAAAATTAATGATTTTTTGACTTAGTTATGAGATTTTTAAAATTGTAAACTTTCATATATATTATCTATAAATATATATTAATCAAATTTCAATATTTTAAGCTTATTTATACTCGAATTCTAAAACGATTCTAAAATTTAATTGCAAACTGCAAGAGTATATCAACTTCGGCTTCCGGGAAATACATCTTGTTTTTGTTTTATCTATTTTTTACGCCTCCCTCAGCAACCGAAAAAACCCTTTTTGACATTTCCCTTGACTCCCCAGCTATTCTGGCTAAAATTTCACTCGGCGTCCCTTTGTGCAGAAAAAAAGAATTGAAACGAGAAATATATATAGAAAACTATGTGGAAAAAAGATCAAATTCGTTTGTATTTCTAATCACATCCATAGGCACCATGCAGGGGCAGAAATTAAATTTATTTGAAATTCGAAATCGCAGAAAGCCAATATTAGTTTAACACTTTTTCTGCAAATAAATCTATTGGGCATAGAATTTTTGATTAAAAATCAGAAACCAAGTATTGAGTTGCATTCTATTGACTGAAAATGCTAAAACAAAACGGAATTCCAGGCATGAAAAATGAATTATATTTATAAATAAAATCTTAGCCAGAGTTTAAGAAACAAATTGAATGTGAAAATATGTATATTTAATTTGTGAATCAATTGAAAAGTTATTTTATCTAATAGTTTACCTAAATGGTTTATGCCTGAAGCGAGAAAATTCCACATTCCACATTGAAATGTAATAAATTATTGAGAATAAATATGCCAAAGAGGCTACTGTAACAAATTTTGGCCAATTGATTTTCAAAATTCCATCTATTATCAATTTGTGCTTTTTTATTCATCTCAATCAATAAAGCTTCCTGGGAAATTCTTTGCCCAGCAAAGTAACAAATCCATCAAATTGAATTTAATAATATTTTATTTGATGGACAGAGAGTGTGTGTTTGGGTGTGTGTGCAGCAAATGTTCAAATAAATTCAATAAAAATTCAAATTTGCCATTTTGGATTCGTAAGCAATATATGCACACACACACACACACACATAATATATAAATGGAGGTACATTTTCTGCAATTGAATTGTTAAGGTTTTAGGTCCTTTGTGCGCTGCATATCAATCAAGCTTGAGTTGATCAGGAGGGGGAAAAGGCAAAGGGGTAAGTGAAATCGTAAAGGTAATGTAATTCTATCATTGTAAACTGAATTTGTTATGCATAAATTTATATTTTTCTTCCATTTTTGGTTGTTTTTCTTCATAGTTTTCTATTTTCCTGCAAGAGGTTTGTAAGAAATGTAAAGATGCTGAAAGATGAATTTGTTATGGATATTTTCATAGCTTCATATTTTATATATTTTTTTTAATGAAATTGGAATATTTTTGTTAGGGAATATTTTGTATGATGAAATTGTATTTCAACTATATACAATTTCATCAAAGAAATTATATATTTTAAGGCTTTTTTTATTTCTTAAAATAAACTGAAGTTGCTTTGAATTTTGTAAGAAATGCTTCATAGTTTTACTAAAGAAAAGATTGAAATTTAAGCTATAAAAATAAAACGTAACACATTTTATAATATTTAACTAAAATTTAAGAAGCTATTTTAAATTTCAACAAAACAAATCAATAAAACAATGCAGTTTAAATAGACATTTTCTAGCTTTTATAAACTATAAATTGAACATGATTTCTCTTCAGATAGGTCCTCAAAAATGTTGTGTAGTTTTTAGATCATATTTTTTTGCGGCCCATTAAGTGACTTCCGTTGCCCTCTTGGGCACTTCAAAGCCTGTCAAGGGGCTTGAGTTTGGGGCACTTGCCCTTTTTTGCACCCACCGCTTTGCGTCACTTGCCCCCTCGACAAACGCTATTCCTTTGCCGTAATGAATTCCTTCTCATGATTCCCATGAAACGTTTCATCTTCGAGGGCCACATGGCCATGGGCTAATTTGGGTGAAGGTTCCTCCTTCGACACTCACAAAGGCCTCTCCTCACACATGGCTTGCTTAGAAGTGTATCACTTGGGCCCTATTCCTCCTCTCCACGCGTTTCCACTGCATACTTTTGGGCTGAGAGCGCAAGGGGCGTATGTGTAATATTTCCATGCCACATTGCGTAGCCGCAAAAATAAAAAAATATGAAGGAAAATAAAAAATCTCTTTTCCTTTTGCGAGTGTGTTTGTTTGGTCAGAGACAAGAGAAGTTTCATCTAAAAAAAAAATGGAAAAAAAGTTGTTCCAAAGAAATTCTTCCCTTTGATTCCACTACATTTGAAAGCAGATTTGTGGCAAACAGAAAAGAAGCAAATATTTGTCTTGCTCGGTTGAACACATGAAACTAAACAAAAAACTTGAATAAGTTTCATAAAAAATAACGTTTTACTCAATTTTTTTAAAAACAAAGATGAAGATTTAAACTTTAAAGTTGAAAATTTTAAAAATATTTTAAAAAGCTAGTGTGGCTGTTTGAATTAATAAGGAATAAGTAAAAGGTGTCATTAATATAAGTTTATAAATTTATATACATTTTGTTATTACTTATCAATATTTAACTAAAAAAAAATACATTTAATTCTATATTTAATTAATATATAAATAAAAGGGTATATTTTTTTTCTTGGGCAGTCAGTAATAATGGTCTTCTTTTATTTATTAAATTAAAGTATGAATTAAAAAAGATAGCCTAAAAGAAAACCTCTTTAGTTAATAATATAAAATACACTTATTTAATACTTATAAATTTTCAAATATTCAATATACAAATTGTACAAAATAATGACAAACATAGTTATCTTGCATTAAATTCTTTGTTTAATTAATACATAAATAAAAGGTTGTATCTTGGTAGAAACCCAGTAAATATGGTATACTCTTATATCTTAAATTAAAATATCTGATTATTTAAGTACTTATTTAAATTTCATACGAAATAAATACATTTTAGAAAACCCACAAAAAATAACATTTAACTTCTTTAACATTGTTTTATCAACGGATATCTAAATATTAATCCTCATATCCCCATTCAAACACCTCCTAATGTTAAATCATTTAAAACTTTTTAAAACTTTTACGCCACATAATTAATAAATGATTTTAAGAAATTATAAAACTCTATGGTATATCCACATAAAACACTCTGCAGTTCACTCTCAATAATATTCAAACAAAAGAGAGCTAAAAGTTATGAAGAAAACAAATAAACTCATTTGGCATTCAGCTTTGAATTTCATTATTATGAAAACAAAGAGAGGAGAAAAACAATGCAGCAAAATATAATTTTGGCCAAAAGCAAGCAAGCAAGAGTTTGTGTCTAAAGCGGTTTCTCCTGTTTAATCCTTTTTCTTGCATTTTTTCTTTAAAAACAAACTTGTATCTGAGATTATCCTACCGTTTTGTGTGAGAAGCAGCAACAGCAAGGAGCAGAGCGCCATCAAAGTATCCATGGCTCAGAGCGGCTATATAATCCTTTACTTGGCTATAATCCTTAATGGTTAATTTCACTAAATCTCTACTTTTTTGTTTCGAGTTTTTTTGCACGTTGGGCTCGGCTTTTTTATCTATTCTATTTTTTTTTTTTCGGTGACTTTCGCAGTTAATTACGAGGCTGTTCACTTGAGGGATAATGGCACATGACTGAGCCGCTCATGTGTCACCGGCAACACCACTTTCACTTTGGCCAGGACAATGGCTACAGCGGCGGCATGACATCATCATCCTGCTCAGGGCCAACATTTTGGCTTTTTGCTATTTTCCTATTCTCTTATTTTTGTTTTGTGTTTTTTTTTTCTCTTTTTGCGGTTCGTTTTTATCTTCTTCTTAAGCACTGGCACTTGAGGAAGTCCTCAGCTGGCGCGAGGAGGCGGTTCGGGTAGGACATATCCGGTAATATCCTGCCGGCGATTTTCCACGCTTCACATTCAATTCTCGCGCTTTTCACTTGGCCGACTTTTGGGTTTTCCAACAGCCACCGGTGGCGAGTCCCTGTTCCATTGCAGGCGAATGTCGAGATTCGACTGAAAGTGCACCGCAGGACAGAGTCGACGGATGCTCAACGAAGTCCTGTAGAGCGATTACGATTACGAAGTCCTCGAGCGACTCCTCCGAATCGCGGATCCTTTGATTACGATTCCGGTAGCTCCGTGCTCACGTTCGAACCGTTGCAAAGCCAGAAAGTACACTGAAGTCATCGCTCGTCCTGCCGCATCCTTTTTCCCATTGCCAACAGCCATGGCCAGGAAGTCGAACCCGAAAAGGGAAAACTTCTTCTGCCTGCGAACTTCGCAATGTTGGCACACTTTTCGTCGGCATTTTCCAACCGAGCAACATGTTTCCAAGTTTTTGTTTCCACACAATTTGCAGTTCGAAATGTTGCCAAGGACTCGGCAGGGGCAAGGATATTCGGAATGAAAAGCTATATCTTAAGAAAGGAGCTTAGAAAGTGTGAAACAGGGGTGAACTTTGAACAAGGTTGCTATAAAGATATGTTATAACAGTTAGAGTCCTGACCTCATTGTGTTATATATAGTACACATCTGGTATAAAAAACCAAGTTTCGGCTTACTTTTATTCAAATTATAAAAGATTTATTCCCATAAAAGGTGAACAAAATAAAAGTTTAAGGTAAAGTTAAAGCATAGCCATAAAATATATTTTCTAACACAGAAATAGTTATAAAGCTTTTAAAATTATTCGAAATCCGAAATTCGGTATCCAAATATTTACATCTTCTACCATGTAACTTACTGTAATAACAACTACTTATGGTAAAATTAATTATATATATTTTTGTTATACTTAAAATTATTATATTTAATCATTCAAAGTAATTAAAAAAAAAAAATAATCCACATGCCATATAAAAAAATAGAACTTGATCATTATTAACCTATTTTTAATAACTAATGATAAAGCACAAAACGGTCAGTAATTAGTACGAATAAATAACATTGTTTCGTCATAAGCTTTTATTTAGTAGTAATAGTAAATACCACTGACCATTTATACATTAATTCCCCATAGGATTCCTTTAAAAATCCAAAACACACTCAGAGATATTCAGGTGCAAAATCAAAAGGGTTTTATTAAGTGAAATCAAAATCCAAACTTTGTATCAACCGTAGTAGACATACGGAGAGGCATATCCTACGGCCGGATAGCCGGCGGAGTAGACAAACTGCGGCACAGGAGCCGGATTGGGCAGGGGAGCAGGAGCCGGACCGGCCAGGACAACGGCCAAGAGGGCGGCGAACAGGAGGAATACCTGGAGGGCAAAGCCACGTTGAATATTCGTACGATATCAAAGGCAGGTCCTTCGGCAGGCAAACACACTCACCAGCTTCAGCATGATGAGGATGTTGGAAGAGTTAAGGCTTTACGACTTGACAAACAGAATCGAACTACACTCGATGTTTGCACAATTGCCAGCTTTTATATTCGTTCAACAGGCAGCAAACATTTTTTCCGAAGGGGGATTACGGGGATTCTAAGCCGATTCTTTCATAGTATATATATTTTTTTCTGATGCATCGGGTTTTCGATTTGATATTCCACATGCATTCTGCTGGCCAAGTTTATGGCTCATTACGGCTCTTAACGCGTTCGCCTAATGTTTTGCGCACAAATAGCGTTATTGTTTCTTAATCTGTTTGCCTGACGACATCACATCGTTGTCATCACCATCATCATCATCATCAACATCAACAACAACGAAAAAGTGTCCACCTCCCTACACCCAGAAATCCGCTTTCCATACACCAAAACCATTCCCTGTCCCGGAATGTGTGTCGTCTCTTTGTCAACTCACTCTTTTTTATCGGGATTCGATTCGGGTTCGATTTTGGCCAGCGGCAAACATTTGGCTTTATATTGTCATTCCGATCGATTTGGGAGTTTAAGAATACTATACATGATTTGGCAATTTTGTTTTGTGTATGTGATACACTTGCACTTTGGAGCTGAGTGAATAAAATAAGAGGATTTGTTCCGGTCGAGGAGAAATCAATTTAAAAACAAATTCATAAAAATAAAATAAATTCGTAAGAGTTGTGTAATGTTTGAATTTATAACATTAGTGGGAGAGTTGCTAATTAATTAAATAATATATAAGTGTTACAATTGTTTTTGGATTTATTATTTGTAGAGCTATTTGATTACATTTAATCATTGAATAAAATTGTGTAGTTCAAATAATTCAATAAGATTTGTTTTATTAAAAGCCACAAATTTAAATATTCATTTTGAATAAGTAATTAATGCCGGATATATCCTAAATATTTAAAATAATTTTTAATCTCAATACTCCATATATTTCTTGCTTAAGGAATTAAAAACATCATGCTTTTATTTAGTTCTCGTTCTCGTATACAAGTAAAATGAATTAATAGGCAAATACACATACATCTAATATCATTAAATAAATAAAAAATTAATATATGTTTTAGAATATATTTTTAAATTCAAAATTGTACCAATCCATAAAGTTATTTATATTTTATATATATTCAAAATTGTACCAATCCTCAATCTTATTTGAAGGAAGAGTGTTTTCTTACTACAAGTAACAAATTGCAAAAAAAAAAATAATAAAACAATATCTTATAATAATAAAAGTGAGTGTCTTATTTTTAAATATTTATTTTATAATATATAAGGGCCTTAAAAGATAACTATCCCATTCATATATCTAAAATTTAATAAGACAATTGGTATGTAAAATATAATTTCCCATCAATTTCCAGGCATTAATGAATTTCTTTGCTTTAGCTGGTGTACAATTACACAAGTAGTATGATATAAAATTTTTTAAAATTAAATAAATGTCAAAAATTTCAATCTAAATTAATTAAATTATTCTTGAAAACTCTTGCAATATCCCTTTTAATATTCCAAACAATTAACTGCATATTAATTCCATTACCTAACTCGTGCCATCTTGATAAGATCCCGATTCCGATCCTATAGCACTCTTATTCCGTACACCCGACAATGTCTGGCAATCATTAATCAACTGAATGGTAGCCCAAATTAGAGACCAGAAATTCCCAATTAAAATGCAATGAGCGTTTTTTCGAGATTATAACCTGGTCCCGTCGTCTGAGCCTGAAATCACGTTCAAGGCCAAGTCTATAGCTTTATAGTGATTCCATCATCATCATCAGAGAAGAATAAGAAGTGATTAGAATGCGCAAGGAAATTTTTGTTTTGGTCACACAAAAGTAGAAAAATCGAAACTATTACCAGAATGATGTGAGCAAAACAGAAATGGCCATAAATCCGATCAGAGTCTAGAAGTGCGACTTTATAAATAAGTCATGAGTGCGAATTTATATATATTATATATATTTTTTTGCTTTTGCTATTGCCTGAGGACCTATATAAGATCGCTGACAGGTGTAGACCAGCATCAAATCACAAATATCAATCGCTTAAGAAGCATCTCAAGTCCTCAAGACAAAATCAAAACACACAAAATGTTCAAGCTGGTGAGTTGAAGGACTAAAAGGAAAAGATATCCTTATTGGATAAATAATTTGTTCAACACTTTCTCCAACAACTAGCTTACTATAATTATAGTTATTAAATAAACAATACTTTCTTTGTCATATAAATTCTCCCCTTTAGCTGGTTGTTGTTTTTGCCGCTCTGTTCGCCGTTGCCTTGGCCGTTCCTGCCCCAGCTCCGCTGCCCCGTGCCAATCCTGCACCCATTCCCATTGCCAGCCCCGAACCCGCCCCCCAGTTCTACTATGGAGCTAGTCCCTATGCCTATTCCGGCGGATATTATGCATCTCCCTACTCCTACTACGGCTAAGAACTTAATCGAACCCAACTCGTGATAATGGAACTGCAAACGGATTAAACGGAATATGCGCGCGCTGGCAACTCTAATTAGTCATAAGTGCTTGTAAAATCGCAAAAAAAAAAAATGAATCATGAAGAACAAATAATAAATCTTGAAAAGCAAATTAATATTGATTTTGGTTGAGCATTAATTAGAGATAAAACTTTCACCAAGACTGCGCTGCTGCTCATCTTGGCACAAAAAAAAGTAACATCATTGGCCCAAAGAAAAATGACAGCCGGTTTTGACGGCACGCAAACAAGCGGTTCCATGGTGTAATGGTTAGCACTCAGGACTCTGAATCCTGCGATCCGAGTTCAAATCTCGGTGGAACCTTGGGAAGGTTTTTTTTTCTTTTTGTTTTCTATTTAAATTATTAATTTTTTTTTTAAATAAATTCATTAATTTAAAAAATATTTAAAGCAAAGTTATGTTTATTATTTTATATATATGTATGGCAAATATCTCAATTGCAGGTGCTTGTAAATAACACAACAATATATTTCTATAATATTACTACGCATTTAATAACAGTTTCAAATACCAAAAGTCATATGCCAAGATAACAATTTGCCCTTTAAGCGTTTTATTTTGTTTTGCGTAGTACCTTTATGAGTTTTGACAGTAGTCTGCCAAGCGGTTCCATGGTGTAATGGTTAGCACTCAGGACTCTGAATCCTGCGATCCGAGTTCAAATCTCGGTGGAACCTAATCTGAAGAATATTTTTTTTTATTTTTTTTTTATTAATCTAATCTAGTTTGTGTAACTCAAATTTCGCTTGGTAAACTTGTAATTTATTATTAATTAAAGTTAAAACGTACGTGGCAGCCATTAGAGCAGAAATTCGATAAGCGGTTGGTGTCTCAGCTAAACAGCTGTTTTTCTCTGTGATTACGCTTTTGTTCATTTACGTAGCTTGATTACGTTGTTTTATATCAGTATGTCCTGTCCTTTTCTGACAAATTAAAGCGTAACAAAAAGAAAATCCAGTACAATTCATAAACAACAAAATTAATTGAAATTACAATGCGTGACACCAATTATTTTTAAAAACTAAAACCTTTGCGCCACCTTATTCAAAAACACCGATAGTATCGATAGCAAACATCGATGTTCTTGCAGCTGAGCGCACAACAACAATAACAAAAATGCAAAAAAGCAAAATTGCATTTATTTTTCGCTCTCGCTGCATTTTTCGCACCTCTGCGCTTTTTTCTGCAAACTAATCAAAATAGAAGATAAGTAAATTAACGCGCGCGCTTGGCTATGGTTAGTTTTCGTTTGCCATTGGCATTTATTGTTATTTGTTTGGTGCACAACATAAGAATCCTCGCCTGCTACTGCTGCTGCTGCTGCCTAACGGTGACGGCTGGATTCGGATTTTGACGTGGATTTAATTTCGTTTTGCAACTGGGAGCTGACAGGATTATGTTGAAACGTTCCCTAAAAGTGCTGATCGCGTTAGTTTTGAGCTTAATGTTCACGGTGTCGCTGGTGAAAATAGTGCTATTGATTTGGTCCTCGCATCCCGCCTACGCCCCCCGCTCGGATCCGACCCTTCCCAGTGTCGACGAATGGCTGGATTCGGAAAATCTATCCACCTACAAGCAGTTGTTTCGCGATAAAGGTGAGTGTATTAAGTGCCGAAAAGGTAACTGCCCTTTGCCTAATCGTTCATTCATAGCATTGCACTCAGCTATTGTTTATATTCATAATTTGTTGTATATTTCGGGGGTCGGGTCTCTTTCTCTCTCTCTTGGTTCGTTCTCTCACGTGTATTTGTTGACAATTTGAGCTTTGAAAGCTCGCTAAAACCAAAGCTCCCCAAGAACACACGTGCTAAGTCAACTGGTTTTCTTTAAGATATTTACCAATTTTTCTTGTTTAAAATAACAAATTACGTTCTTTACTTGTTATGATATAGAAAAAAAGTAGAAAAAAAAGAACGTCTCAGGTTCCACCGAGATTTGAACTCGGATCGCAGGATTCAGAGTCCTGAGTGCTAACCATTACACCATGGAACCTAGCTGATCTTGGCCTTGTCTAAGTAGAGGTAAAAATAGTGGCTAATCTACTCAGCTCTCAAAATGTTTTTTTTATATTTCATATTCATTGTTGAAATAAAAACAAAGATAAAATATTTAAGTTCATATCAATGTAGAATATTACAAAAAAAAAATAAAAAGAAATTTCGTTCAGGTTCCACCGAGATTTGAACTCGGATCGCAGGATTCAGAGTCCTGAGTGCTAACCATTACACCATGGAACCTCGATGGAAGGGCGCTGCCAAGTGGTAGTTTTCTAATGAATCGGCTTAGTTTGGCTGCAAAAGATCATAGAGGAGAAAGTTGCTTATAGAAATTCGTTTCTATTTTTAGATTTTTATGGCCATTGTTTCTTTTTGGCAAAACGTTTAAAAATAATTATGCAAGATTTTTAGATGTTGCTAGGGCGAGAAATAAATTAATGATTGATAAATGTATGTCTACTCTAATAAAGAAAATAATATATTTTTGTTCATGCCAGAAATGATATTTCTAGATTTGTT